CATTTAAGCCGACTTCTAAAATGACAAGGAGCAGGCTAAGCCCCGAGCAGCAGGAGGAAACAGTGTAGGCTGGCTAGTTAGTGTGAAGACCCAACGTAGGAAGGGGCTTCGCAGCCTAGGAAGCTGCCAAAGCCATCGTGTCTTCGCGCGGTTTGAGACGGGGAGAGGGACTGGGCGGTCGCACAGGGCTGTGGAGAACACCGTAGGAGCATGCAGGGACAGGGGTGGGGGCGCTTGCTGAGCACTGACAGCAGCGAGGAGGCTCCCGCAGGGGTCTGGGCTGGCGGCAGGGGTGACTTGGACCAGGGGCTGGTCTCAGAGTGTGGTTTACAACCACAGCCAACAGAACTCGCCAGTGGCGTGGATGTGAGGAATGACGGAAAGGCTATGATGGAGGATGAGCCCCAGCTTGCAGCTTTGCTCAGCGCGGGGGCTGGTGACCGAGACGAGGAGGGCTGAAGGCAGCGCCATGTGCCTCGTCCCCGGCAGTCCCAGCTGACGAACCGTGAACCCACACGCGTCTCGGGGCTTCACATCGCTGGGGCGGATTCGTAGTCTTTCAGATAGATAACTGTAAGCATTTCCGTGGTTTCTCCTTCCCTTTGGTGTTCTCTACGACACACACACACACAACTCACATTCAAATGACCTAACTCCTTCCCTGCTCCACCCTTGAGTGCTCTGTAAATTTTAGCTGTCGTCCAGGCTTCTCTCCTTGGTCCTGGCCTTGGCCACCCAGGGACTGGGCATCTGGAGTGAGGTGTGGGTCTGAGCTGTTGAACTTTGACAGCTGTCGTGTGCCTCTAAGAGTTTACCCCATATATGGTTTGACTAGTTTGCTTGTTGTTATTTTTTTCATAATCAGACAATTTTCTGATCTCTTAAATCAAACTAATTTAATCTCTTTTTTCTTCATGAGAAGACTGATATTTTCCACATTTGCCCTAAAGATATTATGGGCCTCAGTTCTCTTGTCTATAATGGGAGTAGCAATGTAGTCATCCTTCATTGTTATTTTATGAAGATTAAATGAAATAATACATAAAAAATAGCTAGCACAGTAGCTGCTATCCAAGGGTACTTCAAAAATTTCCTGAAAAATGTAATTAAAAGAAAATTTTATTTCTGTGCAAAACATTTGAAATCCATTCATATGAGAAGCATTCGAAAAAAGCTCATGATAAACATGTAGTATGAAAAATGTATGTGGCTTTCAATGTTTTTGTACCAAAATAAACTTAGCTTTTAATCCCATTTCTCCATGAACTTTTTGAAACACATTCAAATAGCATTCAGTAAACCAGGGTACTAGTACTATCCCGGAAAAAAATATTCAGGGCCAGAGGAGCTCTCAGAACCAATACACTGAGTGTAGCAGTCAAATGAACCAGTCCACGAAAACAGAGCAACACTTTTATTTATTAAATCCCTGGAGGACTTTGACAAAACCTATAATTTCTTTGGATCTCAATTTTCTCAGGTAAATGAGAGACTTAGGATAAATAACCTCAGTTTTAAAACATCTGCGAGTCTCCGGGATGGTCTATATTTTTCTCTCCAGTCTTCCTCTTACGAAACTTTTCATAGAGTTTTGCCTTTGGGTCAACTAAATCAGTGTAAGTGATATTTATTGTCAGATCTGACCTTTTGTTAGCACACTGTAGAGTCCCAACTTTAATATCACTTTCTATAAATACAGATGGCGGGTGGGGAAACGTTCTGTCTCCAGCGAAGTGGAGCTATGGAGAACCTTTCTCTTCTCAGTCTCTCAGTCTGTGGGCGATTACTCATGGCTGGCACTCTTCCTGGGTCTCACTTTTGCTACCTTCTCCTTTCGTGATCACTGGTGCTGGTCGCCACCTCCGATCTCAGAGTTCCCCACTCAGCCTTCCCTGGCGGTTTGCCTCGCATCTGAGTTATGCTTTCTTGCTTCCTCTACCTTTTGAAATGTAAAAATAGAAGATGACAAGCAAACCCCCAGTCTTTCACATTGGCTGAACTCTGTTATTCATCTAACAGATTTTTCTGGTGAATTCCACGGCATAAAATCTACAGTTAGAAATCTACCATCAGTTCAAAATACACCCTGGGAGGAATTGACAAAGAACTCCTGGGATTTTGACTATCAAACACAGGATGAGGAATGTGGGGCAGCTGCCGACAGGAGGAGGCTTTGGGAAGTGAGTCCGGGAGATAGCAGGGCTCCCAGCTGGCCCTGGCATTTTCTCCTTACCCTCTGTGGTGAGCAGTCACTCGGTTGATAGGACTCTTGGAGGGCCCTGACTCCTGTTCTGTGAACACCAAAGACAAGTCCTTGGAGGCCTGAAGACCCATCACAAAGGTCCCTGTTATCTCCAGGGACCCCACCCCGCATCACAGCAAACGTACTAAGATATGGCAACCCCCACATGGGGAAAGGTTTTGAAAATATTTTTACAGTTTTGCTTTGGAAGGAGGTGGGCTGTAAGTAACTGATCTCATTTGTAATTGATTATGAGTTGCTCAGTAATTATCTCAGCGTACTCTGAAATGCTTGTTAAGTTAAAAAATAAATCCAGCCGACATATTGCTTCCAAATGAAATATGTTTTGTGGACAAATCAACAGTTGATGAAGTTAAGCTAACATTGATTAATTTCAACTTTATGGTTATCCTCTTTTGAAACCAATAAATGGTTCTCACGGACTCGGATATTTTCATAGGTTCCTGAGAAGCTGGCAAGCCCTGGGCACTGTACCTTAGTGCCCAGTGATGGGAAGTGTTCTTCCTGGGAAGTCATAAGCCCTGCGGTTTTCATTCTTGCCTTCTCTGGGGAATGAGAGCTGTTGGGAGGACAGCGAGCTGGCATAGAAACAGCACTAGTCTAGGAGCAGCAGGTGAACCCAAACGAAAGACTGTAATTGGAGACAGAATCCTGGCTTCCAGCTGTTAAATCACTGAGTAGCCTTGACTGGCACTCTGTGGCCTTCTTCTTACCCACAGTGGTATCTTCGCAGATCAACACACCATCTGGCCTGGGTGGAGGCCCAAAGCCATTAGTTCTATGGAACTGAAAGTTTTGCAAAACCGTCTGAACCAGAAGACAAGAATTTCCCTCTTGCACAAAAAGAAAAGTAAATTTTTATGTCTTTATAATTTCACCAAAAGGATAGAAGGAAGGGAAAGGAGAAGAGAATAAAGAAAGGAAAAAGAGGGGAAGGAAAGAAGGACTATGCCATCAATACTGGTATTTTAAAAAACTATTGATCTATGCAGATGACAAGTATGCCTTCTGCAAAAAGAGGGCTAGGCATTTGGCATAGCTGTTGGAGTGCCCGGTTCAAGTCCTGGCTCCTACATTTCCAATCCAGCTTCCTGCTAATGCGCGCTTGGGGAGGCAGCCAGTGATCGCTCAAGTACTTGAGTCCCTGCCACCCACATGAAAGACCTGGATGGAGCTCTTAGGCTCATGACTTTGTCTTGCACCAACCCTACTGTTGCTGTTGCATGCATTTGAGCAGTGAACCAGCTGATGGAAGATATCTGTCTGTTGCTCTCTCACTTGGTCTCCGCCTTTCAAATGAAGTGAATATAAATAATTTTTTAAAAAACCTTTAGGGGCTGGCATCATGACATAGCAGGGTAAGCCACTGCCTGCCATGCCAGCATCCAAAATAGGCATTAGTTCAAGTCTCAGCTGCTTCCCTTCCTAACCAGTTCCTTGCTAATGGTCTGGGAAAAGCAATGGAAGATGTCCCAAATGCTTGGGCCCCTGCTGCCCATAGGGAAGACCTGGATGAAACTCTAGGCTCCTGGCTTCAGCCTGGCCCAGCCCTGGCTGTTGGGGCCATCTGGGGAGTGAACCAGCAGATGGAAGATCTCTCTGTGTCTCTTCCTGTCTCTCCATAACTCTGACTTTCAAATAAATTTTAGGGGAAAAAAATGTTAAGGCTTTTATATGATACTAACTCCTACTGTCTCCTTCAAAAATCGTCTGTCATCTCCTTTTCCCTAAGTGAGGGGAAAGCGCAATTTAATGAAAAGAAGAAGCAGACAGTGCCATGTTCAAAGCCAGCACTACCACTCATCCTCCAGCAGTTCTCAAAACGTGACCAGGGAACCCCTAGAGTTCTCCAAGAGCCTTTTCAGGGCAGCTGTCAAGTCAGAACTGCTCTCATAATAACATGAGGTCATTTGCCTTTTTCATTCTCATTCTTTCCATGGGTGAATTTTCCCAGAAGCTGTAGGACATGTGATATTGTGGCCAATTAAGTGCATGCACAAATATCAAAATCCAACTGTCTTCTGTCAAGCCAAGCATTAAAGGTACTTAGAAAAACTGTGAAGCAGGGCCACTCTTCTCACTTGGGACAAGGGGTGGACAGGATGGTTTCTGGAAAATATGCTAACTTTTAATTCTTACAAAATATCTGTTACCATGTAAAGGGATTTTATTTTTTAAATAAATTAATACATAGTTTTTAATTCTTCAGTTTTAATATCTATCATTGGTAAATATAATTCACATGAAAAAAGTTCTTTGGAGATCCTCATTAATACCCAGAAATATGAAAGGGTTTAAGCCTACGAGCCACACACCACACACATTACCTAATAGCAGGTACCACTTAGCACTTCCTTGTGCCAGGAGCGGTGCAGAAGCACACCACCTTCTGTGTCCCTTCCTCATGTTTGCGGCTAGCTCAGGGTCTCAGAGCAGGACGGGAGGGAGCTAACCAGGTCCCCCAGTTCACACTCTGGATTACCAGACAGTATCTCCAAAAGTTAATTCTCTGTGGCTTTGAAGAGTATTTTTACTGCTCTGAGCCTCAGTTTCCTTAGCAGGAATGGGCAGAATCCTGTGCCTTGCAGAGTTCTCTCGAGAGCAGAACAATTCCGAGGCCTCCAGGGGCCTCGCACAGAGACTCATGCCACGTAGAGCCCACTGTCCTTCCATTCCTTCCGCATCTGTGGGGTGAAGGCAGGCCGAGGAGGCTCACCCGCTCCTCCTTTCCCTCTAGATGGTCTTCAGGCGGACAGAGAGGCCGACGGAACAGAAGGAGTGGACGAAGACATGATCGTGACCCAGAGTCAGACCAACTTCATCTGCCCCATTACGCAGGTACTGGTTCCTCTTTCCACCCCTGTCAGAGAAGCAGTTGGCTTCCCAGGGGCAAAATGGTTCCTGCTGGCTTTCTGGTTTGATTTCACATTTGGAGTTAAGGCGGGAGAAAAGATAAGTGATGCAGACTAAGGCATATACAGGGCAGGCTTTCCTTCCAGCATACCCTGAAGGATCTAGGGAAAAGTTCATGGCCAATGACACTGGTGCCCCGGTTTCCCTGCTTGTCCTTATCTTAAGCCTCATAGTTACCTAAGGCCATGAGAAAGCCCAGGACTAGGGGAAAGAGAGCTACTGGAAATTGATCGTTATCATTCCTGAAAGCCTAATGTCTCCTTGATTGCAGTTGGAAATGAAGAAGCCAGTGAAAAACAAAGTGTGCGGCCACACCTACGAAGAGGAAGCCATTGTTCGCATGATTGAGTCCAAGCACAGGCGGAAGAAAAAGGCCTGGTGAGTTGACGCGGGAGCGGAAGCGGGGCCTCCGCGGTGGGCAGCCAGGGCCGCTGTGCCAGAGGTCAGGCCAGAGGAAGAGACACTCAGTGTCTGCCCGAGATCACATTCGCCTCCCGGACAGTGTAAACATGGAAGCTGACTTTCTGGAAAAACCATTCAGCTGGGAAAGATTAGCAATCTGTTCAGGAAAAGCCGAAGGAACTCCAGCCACACCTTGAAACAGAAGGAAAAAGGTTGGATTGAATTCTAATCATGAGATTATAGGAGTTTTATGAATGTGTGCAATTAAAAACCTAGCCTGAAGAACATAAAGGAGAACTGTAAGACTCAAATGTGCCCTCTCTTTGTATATACACTTCCCCAAACAAGAGGGAATGTAAGTTGTTTTAAGGCTTGTTTTGTTTCGTTTTGCTTTCTGCAATACAGCTAATTTGCTTTAAAAGTATTTTAAGGGGACCGCCGCTGTGGCACAGCAGGTAAAGCTGCCACCAACAATGCCGGCATCCCACATGGGTGCTGGTTTGAGACCCGGCTGCTCCATTTCCGATCCAGCTCTCTGCTATGGCCTGGGAAAGCAGTAAATGATGGCCCAAGTGCTTGGGCCCCTGCACCCACGTGGGAGACTTGGAAGAAGCTCCTTATGCCTGGCTTCAGCCTGGCCCAGCCTCGGCCTTTGGGGCCATCTGGGGAGTGAACCAGCAGATGGAAGATTCTCTCTCTGTGTGTCTCTGTCTCTCTCTCTCTCACTCTGCCTTTCAAATAAATAAAATAAGTTTTGAAAAATTATTTTAAGTAGACACTCTAAGATGACAAGTCACATCCCCTGGCCTTGATGAATCCCATTTTATTATCAGGGGGTACTTGCCACATATTTAATTATTTAACTAACTTCCTAAAAGATTCAAGTAAACTCATGGGTGACTGATCAGTGAGGTTTATTTTAATGGAGGTTCTGAGGAATCTTTCGTGTGTTTATTCCCTCCCCAAGATCTCAAAGGACTGTGGCTCTGATTCTGTATTAACATAGAACTCTGAGTGAGCTAGACTGGCTCCGGCTTGGACTCAGTTCGGCATCTCTTGTGCGCTTATCACAGGTTTGTCTTTGCCGCAGGAATGGAATGGCAGGTGTGACCAGGTCTCAAGAGCTTTTTGATAACAGTCCCTTTGATGTGTGGTTTGTCTCTGTCGCCCAGAAATTCGCTGTTCCAGACCTCGAGTTGGAATTCCCCACCACTCCCTAGAGATTGGATATTTGGAGGCTGTAGGTATCTTAATGGTCATTCAGTCAGGTAATTTACCCTGTTTATTCTAGAAGAATAATGGTTTTGCAGCCTCGTGGTTGCAAACTCTAGCCTACATCATTCGCACGTTTTGATCTGTTTGGAGTTCCCACTTCGTAGTTGAAATGTCTCCTCCCTGCTGAACCTGTCCTCTCCTCTGTGATTATAATTTTCTGTTGTTTCTGGACTTCCAGATCTCTTTTGCAATGAACTTTTTTCTGTGTTCGTTCTCTGAAAAGCCAAAATATTGTTAACATGATTGCTAAAAACAGATATTCCTAGATAGATTTATTTGCTAGCTCTTCTTACTCCAAGTTTGTGACGTCCCCCTGTAGTCAAATAAGGAAAAGGCAGGTACTGTTACAAAGCGCATTCCTCCCCACAAGGACAAGGATATGTGCCAGTGACTCCCAGAATAGACATCCTGCCTAGTTCGATCTCCTTTATTTGTTTTTATTTATTTAAAGAGAGAGTGGAGGCCTGCACTGTGGGCTGTGGCATAGCAGGTAAAGCCGCCACCTGCAGTGCCGGCATCCCATATGGGCACAGTTTGAGACCCAGCTGCTCCACTCCAATCCAGCTCTCTGCTGTGGCCTGGGAAAGCAGCAGAAGCTAGCCCAAGTCCTTGGGCCCCTGCACTCACGTGGGAAACCCAGAAGAAGCTCCTGGCTCCTGGTTTTGTATCAGCCCAGCTCAGGCTGTTGCAGCCATTTAGGGAGTAAACCGGCAGATAGAAGATCTCTCTGCCTCTGCCTCTCTCTAACTCTGCCTTCCAAATGAATGAATGAATGAATGTGCTCTTCCATCCTCTGGTTCACTCCCCCAAATGCCTGCAACAACGGGCTGGGCCATGCCACAGCTAGGAGCCCAGAACTCAATCTGGGTCCTCGGCATGGGTAGCAGGGACTCACGTACTTGAGCTATCAGCGCTGCCTCCCAAGGCACATGAGCAGGAAGCTGGAATTGGAAGCAGAGTTGGGAATCAAACCCAGACGCTCTGAGAAGGTGTGCAGGCATCCGAAGCAGCACCTTAACTGCCATGCCGAATGCCCACACCTGGATCTTTGTAAGTACGTATTTTGACTTTCTAATCAGCCTTTGCCTTTTTTTGAATAGTACATGATATTTGCAAGTACATGAGCTCTCCTTTAGAGAAGTTGGTTGGTTGGTTTTTGCTGCCATGCTTCCCTAACTGGAGTATGTAAAACTCTGCAAATTCTCCAAGCTTAATCATAACAACCATTAGATCTAAGTGGGAAAAGTCTGGGAGGTCTACAGAGAAAGTAGTATTTGTAGCTGGCCTTGAAAAATGGGAATGATCTCAGAGAATGGTGAACAAGAATCTTTGAGCCAAGAGCTTAGCTCATTCAGACCCTTCTATTTGGTTTCCAGTAGATACGGTTGTAGTTACTGTGTATTAGAGGAAGAGTGAGAGGATGCTGCGGATAATATGAATGAGGAAGTGGTATAAAGATTCACGATAGAGGCCATTAAATATTGTGATTTCATTAGTCTCCTCCTCCATGGGGGTCTTCACAATGTTGATCAAAGTATATATTATGAAAAAGAAACTTGCCCGGATTTCAAGTATTTTTTCCACCAAGTAAACTTTTCTTTTAATTCTGTTTTTCCATGAACTTTTTGAAGTACCGTCATGTAAACTGATGGCAGTAGTTGTCGTTGTAGTGATTTATTCAAAATTTAAATAAGATAGCTGTGAAGTATTCCAGGTCCTTGGCACACAGTAAGATTCAGTAGACATTATCCCCAGTGTCCCCATCCTCACCATTCTTACTGCCGTTACTCGGTAGGTGTGGGAGGCACTGCAAGGTTTTCAAGGAGTGAGGGGAGCCCACCTGGAATTGAGGCAGTTACTCCAGTAGCAATGCAAGGGATGGATTCAAAAGGCAGGAGGAAGAAAGGTCAAGTAGGATGCTCCCGCAGCAGGCCAAGTTATAGCTAAGGAGACCCGAGACTGGGCAAGAGTACCTGTGGCATTACACCTGCCGGAACTTGGCATCGGAGTATAGGGGAGTGGAAGAGGTGAAGGCCATTTTCAATCTGAGCGTCTAGAAGAAGGAGGGTTGCCAGCTGTCAGTTGTCCTACAGAGAGGAACACGTTTAGAAGGGATTTTGAGAGCTTTGTTCAGGTCATGCTGAGTTTGAGGTCCTGCCGTACAGCCATTTGGAATTGTCCAGGAAGCACAGAAAGTGTAGGTGTTGAACTCGGGAGAGGACTCTGAGTCAGCAACATTGACCATGAGGTTTTTAGTGGTGCAGGCAGCCAAATCCAGTCACCACCATCACAGACAGAGCTCTGGAATGGTTGGGATTGCCAGGGCAGAGTCAGCAAGACAAAGCCTTGACCTGGCTCTGAGCTCTGTGGCTCTAGGGCCCTGCTCGCGTGATGTCCACAGCACCCGACACAGAGCCTGATATCAGCCCTCAGAAAAGCATCTTGTTCAGTCGGAAAAGCAGTCGGAACCGTGCCAGGAGCTGGAAGGAGTGGTGGGGGGCTGAGTTCAGGGGAGCCATGGGCAGGTGGGGCCAGGCCTGGAGGATATCACACCTTCTTTAGGACTTACTTCAGAACTTTCTTTCTTTTTTTTTTTTTATAAGGCATACTCTCTTCTTAAATTTTTAAAATTAATTAATTAATTTGAAAGGCAGAGTTACAGAGGCAGAGAGAGAGAGAGAGGTCTTCTATCTGCTGGTTCACTCTCTGGATGGCCACAATAGCCAGAGCTGTGCCAATTCAAAGTCAGGAGCCAGGAGCTTCTTCCGGGTCTCCCACGTGGGTGCAGGGGCCCAAGCACTTGGTCCATCTTCTGCTGCTTTCCCAGGCCACGGCAGGGAGCTGGTTCGGAAGTAGAGCAGCTGGAACTCGAACCAGCGCCCATAGGGGATACCTGCACTAAAGGTGGCAGCTTTACCTGCTATGCCACAGTGCCGGCCCCTTAAAGTTTTCCTTTTTTAATTTGTTAGAAAACAGATGCTGGAGTTGTGGCATAGCAGATTAAGCCACTGCCTGCAATGCTGGTATCCCATATGGGCACTGATTTGCATCCCAGCTACTCCACGTCCGATCCAGCTCCCAGCTAATGGTCTAGAAAAGCAGCAGCAGAGGGCCCAAGTGTTTGGGCTCCTGCACCCACGTGAGAGACTTGGAAGAAGCTCCTTATGCCTGGCTTCAGCCTGGCCCAGTCCTGGCCATGGTAATCATTTTGGGAGTGAACTAGCCGATGGAAGAGCTCTCTCTCGCTCTCTCTCGCTCTATCACCCTGAATTTCAAATAAATCTTTAAAAATAAGTGGGAGAGAGAGAGAGAAACAGAGCATTCCTGTCTGCTGGTTCACTCCCCAAATGCCCACAACAGCTGGGATGGGGCAAGGCTAAAGTCAAGAACCAGAAACTCCCGTCAGGTCTCCCGTGTGAGTGGCAGGGATCCAGCCACCTCTGCTCCCTCAGGGTGCACCCTGGCAAGAAGCTGGAGTCTGGAGTGGATTCAGGACCCGAGCCCAGCACTCCAGTACAGGACGCAGACATCCCAACCGCAAGACGGAATGCCCACCCCCACTCCAGTTTCTCATTAAGCATGAAGCGGTGTAGTTTCCCACAGTGCGTGTTAAAGTGGTGAGCCGTTCTGGGTTTCTTTTGTTTAAAAATATCTGTGACACATCCAGTTGGAGACATCTGCTTTCTTCCTCCTCCTACATT